TTATGTGATTATGTTCTTAAGATGAATTTGATTTCAAGATTCTGTGATTAAGGTTTTCCGCATAAAATAAATAAAAGTCTTTCAATTGGTATCAGAGCAGGGTTTTGAAATCGATTCATCTTAGAACTCAAATATGTTATATGTTAATCATACGGTTTTTGATTTCATGAAATAAAATATTTAAGATGATTTTATTATTTTGAGGAACGATTCTCTTGCTCCGTGTTTGGTATGAATAAGAACATCTTCAGTGCTGTATTGATATTATAATAACAATATTTTGTTTTGATATTATAATAATAATATCTTGGTACATGTTGATTTTGATTGAATTTATATATGTGTGTACTGTATTCAAATACAACGTGTGTGGGTGTGTAATTTGATACACACACGCGATTAAAAAAAAAAGGAAAAAAAAACTGCATATCGTATGAATGGTCTGGAATCTGGATCCTTAGTATTACATGTCTAATGATTATTTTAATATTTTGCTATTATGTACTTATATAGTGCATATGATTAAATTAACATCTGCACCATTATGCGTTAATTGACATGCTTTGAGATTAATTGTAATCGGCATATATGACTATGTAGTACACATGAAATTTTGTATATTTAATTTCGTGATTCAATATGTCAGTACTCTTTTTGTATGTTTTTGATGGGTTTAATATAGTACATCATGCAATATGTGTATGATCAAATACATGTATGTGTATATTCGATGACTCAAATAAAAATAACGAGAATATTATTAGTTTTATATTTATGAAATTTACTAATCTTGTAGTTGCTAAAGTGACCTAGATTAGTAAAATCTAATAAATATAAGAACTATATGAAAGTTTAATCATTTACATAAGATTATAATATTCTCAAATTGCAGTCATAATTAAGAAATTGAGACTAGCTCAAAGGATAGTCGATTTTAATTAATTGTGAACTGGGTAGGGTGTCATAATTTATATTACTTAGCAATTAGAATTGTTTACCTAAAGGTAACATGACTAATTGACGAGTGAGATAAATTATGTTAGACCCTACTTAGGTGTTATAAAAGATTATTTACACCAACATAGAGTGAACAATAGGTATGTTGTATTTCACCCAAAGGCGAACTTGTAGTGATATCGATAGTTCATCTTATTTGACTCAAGGTCTTATTTGAGCATCCTTTTATCTTTACCTTATATATTTGCTATATTTATTTCAGTTCCTATTCCCACTTCATTGTACTCGCATGCTTCTGGTATTAAGACTCTTAGTGGGTCAAATTTCTCCGAATGGTATGAACAAATTCAATTCACCTTGGGTGTTATGGATTTGGACCTAGCATTGCTTACTGAAAAACCTGGGGAAATAACGGATGCTAACAGTGAGGAAGAAGTTAGCCTAATTGAAGCCTGGACCAAGTCCAATAGGCTTAGTCTTATGCTTATTAAAATGACTGTTGCTAATAACATTAAGACTTCCCTTCCCGAGGTTGACAATGCTATGGAACTGTTAACGGCTATTAAAGAACGCTTTAAATCAGCAGACAAGTCGTTAGCAGGGACACTCATGGCTGAATTGACTACCATGAAATATGGTGGTGATAAGGGAATTCAGGAACATATCCTGAATATGACTGATAAGGCTGCCAAACTTAGAGCTCTTGGCATGAAAGTGGAAGAGTCCTTCCTTGTGCAATTTATCCTTAACTCACTTCCATCAAAGTTCGGCCCATTCAAAATCCACTATAATACTCAAAAAGATTAGTAGAATTTGAATGAGCTAACTAGTATGTGTATTCAAGAGGAAGTGAGATTAAAGCAAGAAGGAAATCACTTTGCATTGGCTGTAACTCATGGAAGTATGAAGAAGAAAGGGAAATTTGTGAAGAGTGGAAAGAAATTTGCACCAAACAAAAGATATGAACCTGGTGAAAGTAGTCAGGGTCATGGAAAGGCTTTTGTTGTCACCTGTTACTTTTGTAACAAGAAGGGACACGTAAAGAAGGATTGTGAGAAACGAAAGGCTTGGTTCGAAAAGAAAGGTATTCAACTTTCTTTTGTATGTTATGAATCAAATCTTATTGAAGTTCCTTCTTACACTTGGTGGCTTGATTCTGGTGCTACAACTCATATCACAAATTCATTACAGGGATTCCTTACAACTCGGAAACCGGAGGAAAGTGAAAAGTACATCTATATGGGGAACCGTCTCAAATCTAAAGTGGCGGTTGTTGGCACTTATCGCCTCATATTAGAGACGGGTCACAAGATGGATCTTGAAAACACTTTTTATGTACCTTCGTTTTCTAGGAATTTGGTTTCTTTGTCAAAACTGGATGTTTGTGGTTATTCAGCTTTAATTGGCTGTGGAAAACTCAGTTTTATGTTTAATTCAATAATAATTGGTTCCGGTATTTTATGTGATAGTTTATATAAAATATCTTTGAATCATGAGTTTGAACAATCATTATTAACCACTCATTCGGAAGTTGGCGTAAAGCGAAGCCTAAATAACGAAAATTCTTCTATCTTGTGGCATAAACGATTGGGGCATATCTCCAAGGAAAGAATTGAAAGATTGGTAAGAACTGGAATTTTGGAAAATCTAGATTTTACTGATTTTCAAGTGTGTGTGGATTGCATTAAGGGTAAGCAAACCAAACACAATAAAAGAGCACTACTAGAAAAATCGCTTATTATGACGCTGCAATGCGTCATAAAAAGTTACATATTGAGACGCTTGACCTATTGCGACGCCACACAAAAGCGTCGCATAGGTGGCCGTGGTAATAGGTTATTGTGACGGTTGTCAAGCGTCCTAAAACATTATCAGTTGTGACGATGCTCCGCGTCTTAAAAATATCTTTCTTGCGGCAGAATTTGGTGTCACGAAATGTTTCTTAACTATCTTAATTGCTTGAATACGTGACATTCTAAAGCGTCACAAGAGATGTTTTTATGACCAATAAATCTGTCACAAAAAGTTTTTTTATAGTAACACATCCTCATGTCTCTGAAATGAAGAAATGAAGATTTCTTGTTATTACTTGTCAAGTTAAATAATTTATTGCAAGACCACTTTTAATACAAGACCAGACAAGTTCACTGTGACAGTAACAAATCTTTATCATAAAATTTATTGTCATAGTTTCAAAAAAAAAAAAAAAAAATACAATATAAATATCATTCCACAATTTTGTATACAACCGACGATATCAATACCGATTAAAGTTCATTTTCCATAAATCAATCATCTGAGAAGGAACTATCTTGAAGAAAAATATCATAACTTGTATCAACCCATCACGATATGAAAATCCATGTCCACACTATTCTCCATCCATAGAAACCTATTAAGACAATTGTATAAAAAATTAGTTGATCAATCAAAATGATTCTTGAATAAATGCATTTATATCAAAATATAATAGATTATTGTTGTTACTCTATACAATTGTATAAAATTATTAAGAGTAACTAGTACTTCACTTTCCAAACGAGTTGCACCACATTCCATCTTTTTCATCAACATAATATATATGCATTCCAACAAATCATAATCCATATGTTAGTCCACGTTAACCAATTTCCGAGTTTTTGTTAAAGGTATAACTAAATTTTGACCACCTATACTATAATCTGAAAATGGCAAAGTAGAACCATTAAAACAACAAATCATCAACAAGTCTATCTACAAGGGATTAAGTTCCCAAAACTTTACCCGTAACTGAAGACTGGAACCTCCAACATTGAGGGATCCTGCTAAAGTATCCTACCAAGAATATTGATCATCGGTATCTACGATCGAAGCGAGCTGTTAATAAACCATTATTGTTGAAACCAGATTGATACAATTATTCAAAATAACATTCAAGAAAAGAATATCTAGTGTAGCATTTTTCTTTGTAGTAAAACTATTTACCAGTAATTTAGAAATTTTTACTTGTTGCAGGCATCAATGAAGTGACTTCCTAAAAGAAGTGCATAGGGAGGCATGAACTGCAGCCAAACAAAATCAAGCAGCTTAGAGAAACAGAGCTCAAAACAGAATATTATGTAATAGGAAAAATCATCTTGCCATTAGTAAAACATTGGACAATCTATATTATTTATATTGTCAGAATAAAAATTTAAAAAATCAGATCATGAATAATGTTGAGGTACCCATACTATTGAGGCCATATGGCTCCATTATATACAATATTGTTCTTACCTTAACAAAAAGGAAGAGCTCATCAATACAAAGCATAATTTTGATTTAGGTATATTAGTCGATCATATTCATATGGATATTAATAAAAGCCTCCAAGTAAACAATTCAAATATGAGAAAAAAATAATTGAAACACCATAACACTGAATAAAAGGGAGAATGATGAGGACGAACCTCAACTTCAACTCAGAAAAGAAAATCCCCTTTCATTACTTCTATCTAACAACTAAATAATAAATAAGCATCTGCAATTACTTTCCGAGATAATAAAGACGAACCTCAATTTCAACTCAGAAAAGAAAATCCCTTTTAATTACTTCAATCTAAAAAACTGAAAATCAAGTATGAATACAAATATGAAATTAGTTTCCCAGATTGATTAGCATAAAAAGTAAAATGAACAAAACCCATTAAATTGTACCTCAGCGGCACCTATAATTACATGTAGAAGATCGGTTTTAGGTCTTCATCATCGGATTGGAGCCTGTTATTGCGTAAAAAAAGAGAGGCAATTGTTAAGTGTGGCAGATCTCCTTCATATAGGTAAACCCTATTATAAGCCAAACACAAACATCTGTGTTTGAAATTCTTAATTGAAATCCAAGAAATAAAGCAAAAGGGAGATAAATGAAATAAATACCCTCCAGTGTTGAGCCTTGTCTAGTTTTAATGTATTTATCAAACTAAGAGTGATTTGGTCCGTGGGGCTCTTCCTCGCGTCCTCTAAGCTCTCTGTCGGATTCCGGTAGAAAAAAGACCTGCAACGCCGGGAGGTGTTCCCGGCGGGAAAGCTCCGACGATCAAGTTAGTATGATTTCAAAGCGAGTTTTTAGAAAGTACGTAAAAGTGTGTGAAAAATGTATATTATCTGTGTGGAAAAACGCAATATCATTCCCTATTTATAAATGAGGAAACCTTGGCCTCCAAGGTTTCCTTTTTAGGGTTTTTTCCCCCCTCAAGCCATTGTGTGTATTGGGCCTTTTATAACCCTGGGCTCGATTTACCACGAGCCGATACTGGGCCTGCGAGCCGAAGTTCCGCAGTTCGTCGTTGAGGTCGTACGACCTAATGGTCTTTTTATATCATTGGGCTGAATTGCCATGGGCCTTTTGTCGTGGGCCTAATTCGTATTGGATCTTTCCAGAATGGCCCGTATCAACTACTCCCCCCTACTCCTTAATTATCGGGCGAGATAAAACTTCTGTTTTGTCCCGTTCGATGAATATGGAGTATGGAGTGCGAGGTAACAGTTCGTTTTTAGCGTTTAATCTTTGATGGGGAAGCGTGCTCTACCGCCTTCTGCTGTCCTATCAATCAATGCAGTCGATTCGAGTTCCCTAGGTCATAATGAGGGAATTTCAATCGGTGCTTTCCGCGCCGAATTCGAGGCGGCCTGCTTTTGATCTCGTTCGTCCGAATGAGTGGTTGAGATCTAATTTCCTCTTATCTCTTTCCCTATAAATACCTCATTAACCCAACTTGTAAAAGTTTTTTCTTTTTGCCTACACGTCTCTCCTCCTGCTTGATTTCTGGTGATTCCATTTTCTGAGACAGAGCTTTCCTCCCTCAAGCCCACTCTTTCTCTCTAGCCAAGGTATTACTTCTCTTCCCCATCTTTTATTACCTCCATCTTATTCTTCAATTCGATAATGTCAGCCCATTCCCCTGACCCTTTTGGCCAAAAAGCGCCTTCCGGGGAGGGGGGTGAAAACCCTGCTTTTTCTATCTCTTCTTCGTCGGAGGAGGGGCCTTACTTCTCCCCTTCGGGTAAACTCTTGGAACGACCCAAGAAGAAGGGCAAGAAAGAGGTTTCTTCTTCTGCGAGGAGTGGTTCGCCCTCCGTATCTGGGGGGAGGGATTTAGATGACCAATGGGGGCCCAGTACCCTGACCGACATAGATCTGGCTAACTTAGTCCGCGACATAGGCCTCTCCACCGATGTCGAGTTGATTCTTCCTTCGCGAGATGACCGTCCTTTAACTCCCCCCTTAGGTTTCAGTACTTGGTTTTCAGAGCAGTTTTATTTCGGTCTATCCTTCCCTATCTCGCCTTGGTTTTCTGAAATTGCCCAGCTATGTAATGTGTCCCTTAATCAATTCCACCCTCACGCTATAATAATTATGACGGGATTCCGTATGCTATGTGCTTGGTCGGGGGTGATTCCTACACCAGCTCGATTCCGAAGTGTCATGGTATTGAAAAATTCCAGTCCTTTCCATGTTTCTATCTCGGCTCGTCCGGGTTTTAAAATTCTGATGCCACCTAATAAAACCGATGGGTGGCAAGGTCATTATTTCTTTGCCAGAAATCCTGTTGACACGCCCTATTTATGTCCTTGGCTCGCCACCCTACCTGAAAAGAAAAGAGGTAAACCTTTGGCGGTTGACGAATGTTTATTAAAAATGATATCCCATTTTCAACCGAGTCACGGCGTCCCGGATAGCCTCACCAGCTTTCCGCCGATGCTCCGCCACTTCCGTTTTCACGACAACGGCACATATTCTCTAACTCGAGAAGATTTAGGTGGGTTCGGTTATAACACTAATTCTTACTTCGACTCACTGTCTCACTTGGGTCGGTTTGTCTTTTGTTGCTTCGCTAATTATGTACTTGAATGTCTCGTATCTCACCCACGTATCTCCCCTTGCCCGTTTGTTTTGGTTCGTAGATCTAAGGATGAAGAGGATGTTCCGAGGTGACAAGCCGGCTACCCGTCCGTCCGATCCGGAACCTGGGTTCGAGGCGTCTGAGTTTCAGCGTCCTCTAATCGCCGAATCCGAGAAAAGATCCTCGGAAGAAGGGGCTCTAAGGCCCAGGCCATCGAAGAAAAACGCCGCTCCTCCTCGCGCCCGCGGTGGACCTGCTTCGCGAACTGAGGATTCTGAGCCTCTTAAACAATCCTCTGCGATAGTTCTCGCCCAATCACCGCCTCCTTCCTCGACCGAAGAGGTGGTAGAGAGAGAACCTGCTCCGAAGAAACGGAGATCTGAGCTGGCCCTTGGGGCGGCTGGGTCAGCTTTACCGGCCGACTTTGGACTATACCTCTGCCGGAATGCTGAAAACGCCATTGCTGCGTGCCGGTCCTTGGCATTCCCCACCGATGTCGCCCATTTCGGGCAAATGAGTAAGGGCGACCGACTTGAGTTGCTTCTCCATAACATTACACAGGTTTGTTTCACTCTGTCTTTGTGAATCAATCTTTGCCATTGCATCTTGTATTTAAGATTAACTCTATTTAACCTCTTTGTGGGTGCAGCAATTCGCCATCGCCTTTTCGGGTCCTTTGGGGTGGGACGATGTGTCACGCGAGGCGTATGATAATCAGAGGAAAGAGGTGATGCAGCTCCGGAAGGAAGTCCGGGGTTTAAAGGAGAGCCTGGGGATGTCGGAGTCTTCGAAGGAGGGGCTGTTTGCCGAAGTGAAGAGGCTGAAAGAGAGAGAAAAAATCCTTGAAGCTGAAAAAGACTCCCTTGCATCCCACAATGCCAGTTTGGAGGAGAAAACTAAGGGGCTTTCCAACGAGCTGTTCGCAGCTGGAGTACAAGCTTCCACCAATTTCACCGAAGGGGTGAAAGAGGGGCAAAGGTTGTTCCCGGGGTCGCCCGAGGGTCTTCGCTTCATCGAGGAGTTTGTTCGCCGCTTCTTTCACCGATTATGGCGTTCCACCACTTTTACTCGAGAAGCTTCAGGTTTAGCTCGTTTCTTCTTTTCGTCAGCGGTTGCGGCTGTTCGGAAGAGGTTAGGCGGTGCCGGCATCGAGTTCCCGTTGGTGGAAAACGAACTGGCGGAGGACCTCCCCGACGACGTGATCCCGGGTTTTGAGGGGGATGTAAATGAGGATCCCAACTTAGAGTGGTGGAGGCCGGTTTATCAAGGCCTTGTTGAAGAATTCTCCCGTCAAGGGGCTATCACCGACTTTGCCGGAGATATTGGGGCCCTTGGAACGGCGGTTAGTTCCGAAGAGGCACAGCCAGGCCTCGTTTCGCCGCCCCCTCCGGATGCTGAGAATCGGAGTGAAGCAGACACGGCCATCCCGAAGTGAAGACTATGAAGAAAACTTAACCTTTTTCTGTTTTGTATTCTGAATATGTATCTTTTTTAAACATTATATTTTTTACTCCCTTTTTGCCATGTATCCTTAGCAATTCCTCCGTTTTTCCATATGTTCAGAAGCGTCTTTATTCGTTTTTCAAATTCGTGCTTCGAGCTTTGATATTCGTCTTGTCTTGACTTCAAGTTCAATTCATGTTTCCATATCTCAGATCATTCTCATTTGTGCTTATCCTCTAAGCTTATCAGTTAACTTGATCTCAGAAAACTGTTTTTATATTTCAACTTGATGCTTGACCTCATCATCTCGCTTATGAATACGCGACTTAGCGCTGCAACAGAAAACACAAACCATTGTCACACTAAAACATGCTTTTTACTCACTTTAGTAAAACACGCGATTTAACGTCATAGTGAAACACGCGTTTTAACGCCACAGTGAAACACGCGAGTTAACGCCACAGTGAAACACGCGAGTTAACGCCACAATAAAACACGCGAGTTAACGCCACAATGAAACACGCGAGTTAACGCCACAATGAAACACGCGAGTTAACGCCACAGTGAAACACGCGAGTTAACGCCACAGTGAAACACGCGAGTTAACGCCACAATAAAACACGCGAGTTAACGCCACAATGAAACACGCGAGTTAACGCCACAATGAAACACGCGAGTTAACGCCACAGTGAAACACGCGAGTTAACGCCACAATGAAACACGCGAGTTAACGCCACAATAAAACACGCGAGTTAACGCCACAGTAAAACACGCGAGTTAACGCCACAATGATACACGCGAGTTAACGCCACAATGAAACACGCGAGTTAACGCCACAATAAAACACGCGAGTTAACGCCACAATGAAACACGCGAGTTAACGCCACAATGAAACACGCGAGTTAACGCCACAGTAAAACACGCGAGTTAACGCCACAATGATACACGCGAGTTAACGCCACAATGAAACACGCGAGTTAACGCCACAGTAAAACACGCGAGTTAACGCCACAGTTATAACTTAAGTAAATAACACAAGTACTTTTTTAACGTGGAAACCCTCCAAATAAGGAGAGAAAAAACCACGGGGCCGGGCCTAGCCCAGATCGGAAAATGGATGGTTAATAATGGTTGTTTTGTCTGTACAAGGTGTGTCTCGATTTTGCTGGCGTAATTGCCTCGATTTCCCTTATCTCTCTCCTTTTTTTTTTTTTTTTTTTTTTTTTTTTTTTTTTTTTTTTTTTTTTTTTTTTACGCGAAGAAGCGTTTCAGATGTATTATGTTCCAAGCCCGAGGTAACAGCTTCCCGTCGATGTCTGCCAACTCATATCCTCCGCCGGCCAAACACCTGGTGACTGTGTATGGTCCTTCCCAATTAGCCTCCAACTTTCCCGTGTGTTTTAGCGCGTCCGCTCGTCGCAAGACGAGGTCTCCGATCTGGAATGAGCGGGACCGCACCCCTTGATCATACCGAGCTTTGATCAAGTTTTTACTTCTTTCCATGTGCAAATACGCCGTTTCCCGAAGATCGAAAACTTCGTCC